GGCTGCCAAACCAGAGAGGGGTGGGTTTTTCCCCTCCTTTCCCCCCCCAAAAAAAAAGAATTCCCTCCCGATGTGTGCCGGTGGCTGTCCCGCACCCGTCGCGCTGCGCCAGGAGAGGAGGGTGCTTTTAATTATATATTTATTTTTTTATTATTTATTTTTTTTTATTGCCTCCCAGAGCACCGCTCCTCCTTCTGATAACTTCATCTGTTTGCATCTGGGGCTGTGCCTTTCCTCCAGCTGTGAGTGAGCGAGCGACTGCAGGAACATGAGCTAAATAGGACCCGGCACTGGGGCTGTTTATCAATAATTAGGCAGGGGGTGAAATTGAGGACATCCCTGTACCTTCCTAATTTCCTTCCCCCTTTGGGATTAGAATAAAAATCAGTGTAGAATCCTATTCTATGTTCTTTATCTGCTATTTTTTGAAAAAAAAAAGCCTACCTGGCCTCTGTGTGCACGTACTGCACTGAGGTCTTAAAAAAAAATTGAGGTGTTATTTATAACTTTAAATCCCAAGTTCTTTTCCTATTATTGTTCTCTTGTAAGGCTTTGATTACAGTGCTGTGAAGGCTGAATGAACCTCTCGAAAGGGCCATTAACGCTGCGGTAACATTTTTTTAGTTGCGGTGTTTTTTCCCCAGATGAAGATCCCACTGAGTTGAAGCTAATCCCTTTTGATGTTAATAGTATTGTGCACGCGTGTGTGTGTGCGCGGCTAGAATGGGCTTAAATGAGGTTAGTGTATGAATGATTGCTGATCGACCTAAAGGGGCTTGGTTTGAGGGCTTGTCATCTTAATGATTATGATTTCCAGAAAACAGCTTCTGAAATAAATCACTGCCAGGGAGCAAGTAATAGCCAGCGAGGGAGTAAACTCAGGTTAAGGTGCTTTGATACCGGTAACGACTAGCAAACAGTTCAATTAGGATGGTTTTTTTTCTACTTGTAAAGCTGTCTAAGGTGAATTTTTAATTAAAACCATGTAATTTATAGCTTTTTCATTGACATATAGTCCTTTGCTTAGCTTTACTGCCTCATTTTTCCTGTCTGCTAGCATGGGTGCTTCCAGAGTGTTAGTGAAATGCAACAAACACATCATTATGAGAATTTGCTGAAGGCTAAGTTTTCCAAAAACTTGCATATTTCCGGGCCTGGAGAGTTCGAAATGGCAAAATGCCTTTTTTTTTTTTTATCAGGAACTGGCTTAAAAAAGAAAGCTGCATCCCTTGTCAGTATCTCGTTAGTTTCAACCAGTGACTGAATTCAGTCCCTAAGCTATAACTGGACGGTTATAGAACAGACCCAGCTCAGACCTGGTTTTGTGGCATCCCGGGAGGCTGGGAAAGGATCTGCAGGAACATCCCTGGAAGGATAATTCAGCCTAAACGTCCTGCTTCAGCTGCTGCTCTCCTCCTTTCCAGCAAGTTTCCATTTCTGCTTGCCACGCCGTTTTCTATCTGCTGTTACCCTCTGCTGTGGGAAGTCGAGCTGCTTTCTCTTGCTGAAAACTGCAGCGTTCTGCTGAGTTTGATTCCCTTTAGCCTTAGAATGTGACCTTCCCTTCCGTGTTTTCAGAGGTTATGGATATCAAAGTTTATTTCAACAGTTTGTACCCGTGGCGGAGGAGCTCGTGTTGTAACAGTGTCGTTTAGAATGGTCTACTCAAGACTTTCAAAAATGTGTATATTCTGCGTGTGCACGTGCTGGAAGTGGAGAAGAGGGAGAGTTCAAACCTCTTAACAGCGAGGGCCAAGTGGAAGAGACTTCCAGGCCTCATTCCTTTGGAAATACATCTTTTATTCCACTTCGAATTTGATAAGTCTCCAGCAATTTTAGTCAGTTAATATTTTCTGATTTTATTGCCGCTTTTTGTTGCAACTTAAAAAGTAGGAGCAAAGGAAGGCAGGTCTCTGAAACCAGCCTGACTTGTGGATGTCTCTTCGTGGGGTTTCAGTGACAGCACTGCATAGCTCTCATTTAGAGAGGGCAACCCGAAGAATAATTGTAGCATTTATTGTATTTAATACAATATGAATCATTTAATGAGTGCGAATATAGGAAAAACATGCGTTTTTCATTTGGCCAACTCCCAAGTCATACATTTAAGGATGAAGAACGTGGATCATGGGTGGAGAATGGGAGTGTTCTGGGAAGTACAGACATTTAAAGGGGGTATTATGGGTTGTGATTAATAACTTGAACATAAGATCTCTTATTAGACATTCAAAAAGATCTAAGTATATAACCAACATGAATTATAGGGCAAGATGATAAAATCTTTCTGTATTTGGTGCTTATGGGATTCCTTTTTGAATTCTGTGTTCACTTTTGGCATTAAACTTTAGAAAGTTGATATTAATAATGTGAAATAATTTGAAGAGGGAGAAGAACTGGGAAACATGTCTCTGTACAAAAGATTGACCAATTTAAGGGTTAAAAAGAGAAGGAACGAAATAAAGTGGTGATAGATGGACCTGGAGTGGGCGAGAGCTGCTGATAGTGGCTCTGAAAGGATTCCACAGTAGGAAAAGGACCTAAGTAACTTACATTTTTCATAGTTATGTCTGTAGTTCACAGCATTGCTTTAATTATTGAAAGAGACAAGTTTTGTACATTTCAGTTTACTATGTGTAAATTTCAGTAGGGTAGAAATGATTTTACCAAAGGTTATATTGTGTAGTTAGTTTGCCACTAGACATTTTTAAAGCAAGATTGAGTGCTTTCTTGAGAAAAATGTACTAATTCAAATGGTGTTTTCATTCTGGAACTGATCTTAAGTTGAGGGAAAGCGAGGAGAGGAAAGGTGGGCTTTATTCCTCCAAAATTATCCCAAGAAAAACAGTGTTGGGAAACTTTTCACTGTGTACTCACATGATGGCTGGACACCAGAAAGAGGATGAAAGAAAGGAAAGGGGATGTGGGAGCGTGTGATTGTGTTATAGCTTGGGTTATTTCATCACAAGGGGTTATTTCTGGCCTTCTGCATGGAAAGGAAAGGCTCCTCTTGACTTTAGGAGCATTAGATATGTCATAAACTGCCACAAATTTTTTTAAATGAGAGAAAATCCAAGTGCAAGTTAAACAATTGTGTGTTTTTCCCTTCCTATTTGGAAGGTATATTTTAAAATATATTTATTCTTCAGGCACAGTTCAATTTCACTTACTTGGTTTTCTAATTCACTCAGTTGACAGGATAATTTTTGGTGTAATTTGATTCCAAATTTAACTCTCTTATAGGTAAAGAAGATACAGTGCTGTTATCCAGTTGTCACAGGTGATTGCATTCCGCTCATCTTCAAGACTTGTATTGGAATTAGAGGTAACTTGTGATATTTTTTTTTTTTTGGTCAGAAAGTTCATGGCAGGAATTTACTAAATAGGCAAAGTTTTGTGTTTTGTTTCAACTTCTCAAATATTTTTGGTGTTGATGTGATAAATTGACACGGTTTGAGCTGGCAGTTTTGTAATATTGTACAGGCAAGAACATATTGATGGTACAGTAAATATTTTGACTTTTAGCAGGCCTTAAATTCTTAATTAAAAAGTTTGTGATATAAACCCTTCTGTGAAGATAATTTGCTGGTGACTTACTTTCTTGAAAGACTTCACCTTTGAGTACTTTGTAAAGATTTACTGCTGGTGACTTACTTCCTTGAATGTCTTCACCTTTGAGTACTTTGTAAAGATTTACAGATTAAGTGAAGGCCATATCAACAGAATATTGATTAATTACTATTGGGAAATCCAAAAAAAAGCCATTCTGTTTGGCCAGTGAAATGAGAAAAGTATGTTCTGTGTATTGCATGAGATGATAGACTTGCCTGTAATGCAAGGAGGGCAGCTCAGCAAGAATGTGTAATTGTTTATTTTAACAGACTTGGGGAAAAAAAAGTTTGTTTCCGTTGCAGTAGCGTCTGATGTTTTAGTGTCCCAGTGCAGCTCATGGCTTTGTTTCTCCATTTTATATTCTTTATGTCGTTCCTTACATCTGATGTACTACTTTGAAAATAGAAACAGAAGAAATTTATGGAATTGATCTGTAAAACTTCAAACCCCAACAAAACAAAACTGAAATCCTGTTTCCCTTCTCCAATAATTCTTTTCCCCTTCTTGCCTTCTGCACTCCTCTACCCTGGGTTTTTTCCTAATTCTGGAGGAAAGCTGGGACTGGACCTCTCTCTTTTCTTATGACAGTAGAGGACTCGATTATAGGTAGTGTTTATGAGGTCTAATAAAGGAGAATTTCAGGCTTGTTTTGCTCTGTGCAGCACAACTTCCTTTGGTGGCATGGTATTTCGTGAGTGGATTCAAGAATGAGCTCCTCGGAAGGCGTGACTTCTGTTAAGTTGGCCTCTTGTGTAGATACTGATTGGATGGCTCTGGATGTTCTCAGAAGTGGGTAGCAGTGTTTTGGTTTGGTGGGGGTTTTTTTTGGTTGGGTTTTTTTTCTGATGGAGATAAGGTATTACTGCTGTTCATCTCTCTAGTGGTTTTGTTAACGGTAGCTTGGCTTTTCAGAGACCTTGTTGTGAAGGAGCGTTGTAGGAGGAACCTCTCTTTAAAACTGGAGAGTGTCCGGAGGGGTTAATTGAGTGTATTAATTGATGTTACATCTACCACAGTAGCTTGGCTTTTCAGAGACCTTGTGGAAGAGTGTTGTAGGAGGAACCTCTCTTTAAAACTAGAAAGTGTCCAGAGGGGTTAACTGAGTGTATTAATTGATGTTACATCTACCACGGTGCTCATATTCCTCTGTGTCTTGATTTCTCCTCCCTGGATTCTTTCTGAAGGGTGTGATATGTTCTGTCTTTTAATTTATTTCGCTGTTCCTAAGTGATGGAGCCTGTGTGCTCTGTAAGGTCAGCGTTAGAAGAGTTTGGCACAGAATAATAAAATAGGGTTAGCTAAGGACAGTTCAAAGGGAACTCTGGATTGCCTCGGTGCTCTAGGTTGCAGTCTTCCCTTTTGCTCCTAACATTGTCTGTGTGGTTTTGTCTTTGCAAAGCGCTAGTTCTGGAGAAATGGCCTGTTGGAAAAGATGTTCAGTTACCAGAAAGTAAAAATAGACTTTAAAAAAGAAGCGTGGACTGTCTGAAAGATCAGTTTCGTCTTAAATTGCTTGCGCTGATGACAAAGCAGAGTTTAACCAAATATTTATTGTTGAAATTACTCTGTAATTAGTAGCATTGTACAGCTAAATGTAACACCAGATTTTACTGTAAATTACTGCTATTCCATTGCTGTGGCTTGAGAAGTATAGACTGTAACTGTGGTATTCTTTTTAGTGGCCTGGATAAGAATTTGACTACAACGTTTTAAGAACATAGTTTTTGTATTTTTAATAACATCCTGCAGTATGTATTTAAAATGCATGATGTGATCTCTTACCACAATGGAAAATCAGAACAGCCTTTTCTCGTTTGAAATACTCAGTTATCCTGTATATGTGATTTAAAATATATATTCTTATTGCAAGGTTTTGAATTGGTAATAGGCAGACCTTGAAATTCTGATTGACTCAGCATGTATCCTACTTCTTCTGAAAACCAAACCAAAACTAAAATCTGATGATAAATACACACTTGGGTTTCACATTTGTTGAAACATTTTTATTGCTTCCAGTTACTCACAAAAGCAAGGATTCATTAATAAAGTATTTTAGAATATACTATTTCCTGCAAACTCGTTTGAGGTTGAATGTTTCAATTTTGAATCTGAAAGTGCAATTTCCAAGTGCAGTGTTTTGTACTTTGTAGACACTATTTGTAAATGAACTATTTGCGGTTTCCTCAGTTGAAAGAAGTTGTTTTATCCTCTGTTTGGCTTCCTCCTTTTGAAGTTCTGCTTAAGTGCTCTACTTAAATAATACTGTAACTACAGTTGTGCCATCATCAATCAATTAAAGAAATGTGGCAAAATAGTAAACCTGTGTATCTCGGATGCCTGGATCCTTTTTTCTTGTATGGCTTTTGGGGTATGTTTCCTGGTAGAATGTTGCATTATTGGACCATGGATCTGAAGCAAATCCAAGGTCTGGAGGAAAAAACCCACAGCCAAACCCCAAAGAAAGACATAGCATGAATTTCATATTTAAGTAAGTCCATGTTTGATCCAAGGGCTGCTTTGTCCCCTCTGGTCAACGCTTCTGTGTTGCAGTGATTTTTGACAAGAGGTTGGCTATAGATGGGTCAGGGGTGGCTGCTGGGATCAACCCCAAGTGCAAGTGATTTCAGTATTAAATCTCTTTTGGACCCCAATTTTTTAATTAAGTTAAACTGTTGGATATTTAGGCTCACTTTCACCTTGTGCTTTTTCTACTCTTTGTGTGCTTGAGGATGGGTCATGGAAAGCCATTAAAGTTTAATGAGATCTGTGCACTTGCAAATTTATTTACTTATTTTCTCCCCCCCTGCCATGCATATAGTATTTCCATACAACATGAGACCTTTGTGACTTTTTCCTAATGCATTGAAATATTTTCGCTTCAGATGCATTTCTGAAGTTTAGAAGTTTATACTTCTGCCAGTGCATTGTTCTTTTACTGAAGCAGAAGTGATACTCTATATAAGTGAATTTGGGAACACTTCAGTCCTGTGTTGCAGGTGAGAAAAATGCTTGGAGAGAAGGTTTCTAGAAAGTCCCGTTGTGATAGGACTAGGGTAGATTTGGACTAGATAGTAGGAAGACATTTTTTACACTGAGGGTGGTGAGATAGTGCCTCAGGTTGCCCAAAAAGGTGGTGACTGCCCCATCCCTGGAAACATTCAAGGTCAGGTTGAACGGGGCTCTCAGCAGCCTGGTCTGGTTGAAGATGTCCCTGCTCATGGTGGGCGGGGGTTGGACTAGATGGGCTTTAAAGGTCCCTTCCAACCTCAACTGTTCTATGATTCTTGTTTAGGTGTAGGTCAAACAACTTCCCTGGAGTTCAGAGTGAACAGGAACCTAAGAAAACAAGTTGATTAAGATACTGTCAGTCTTTTGTGTTGTCTATTTCATGGGTCATCATTAGAAGAGATAGTTAACCAGTGCTTTTATTTAAAAACTTAAAGATAGGCTGCTTGACATAAAAATGGTGTTGATATAAAATAAAGCATGTGAGGTTTTTTTTTTGCTTGCTTCTAACCTTAGTAAAACCACATGTCTCTTTTATTAGGAATTAATTGTATTTTCTTTGGGTGCTATTTTCTTTTTGTCTACTTTCTATTTGTTATTGGATGCTGTTCCCTATTAAATTTGATTCAATTTTTAATTAGTTTTTGCAGTTTCCATTTTTGAGGTAACTTCTTAGTGGAAAAGGTTGTTGTGTTCTTGTTTTTTCTATTCTGTTGTTTTTTTTTTAAATTTTAGTGAAGTTAGGTGATTTTAAATATGTAATTGCTGAGCTGTGATTTAGTAGCACAGCAGCTACTTAGACCTGACACTGATTCTTCAAAGTATCTCACCTGATTTGAGGTAAAGGGCTCCTATAGACTACAAATTTCATGGCAGATGAGACTCTTGGATTAGTTTGGTTTTGTTACACTAATGCAAAAATGTCTGATTTTGTGCAATTAAGTCTTTTTTTCCCAGATGTGTTCAGGTATAGTGTTTTTTGCTGATAGATCAGGAATGCAACTGATACTAGAATAATGGTGTGGAAATTCTCTTACTGAAGTTTCTTGGTACCGTAGAGGTTTGAGCAACTTTCTCACGCAGCAGAACTCTGGTAGTTTGAATTCTATAAGGAAACAAACTTGGGAAGTTTTGCAGTGTGTATTTATTGTATAAAATTAAAGAGAAACAAAGTCATAAAATAGCAACTTTGACATCTGTCCAAACAAAGCTTTGTGAGTATTAAATATTATTATTAGGACAGCAACATTCTACTTTTACTGGGAATTCCACCTGTGCCCTTTTTCTAGTTGTTTATTTGTGATTGTTTGGGTGTTAACAGTTTTCTTTTTTTATAGCAGACAAACCATGTTTTGCCATCAGATTTTTGCAAGCTTAAAATGATAGCTATTTCTCCTTTTCAGTAGCATAAATACAGGAATTTGTTTTCTTTAAACACAGATGTTTTTGCAGAGCATTATTAGTCTGAAATGGTATAAGAACTGTGGTGGCACGGAGGGAGAATGAACCACTGTAGCAGCCAACTGGAGCTGGAGACACTTGAGACATTTCCGACTGTGACTCATTATTTCTTTGTCTGGTTTGGTGAGCTCAGGGAGCAGGGTGCGACTGGTCTACCTTTGATCATACCTATCTTGCTGTTCAAATGTTTGCACATACAAATTTGGCCACTCACTGGATTGTAATTTTTTTTTTTTTTTCAATACT